ATGTAAAATTTATATTTTTGAACAGAATAAATTTATTTAATAAAAGATAACATTTTATTGAAAAGCCAGAAACGTTTGCATGAAACCAAAGTAAATAAATAAATAAAAGGACAAAGTTGTTAGGGAATAAACAAACAAAAAGCCTCAAAAAAACATACACAAGCGTTTAAAAAACAGCATAATCTTCTTATTAAAATGTACATATATTTTTATATTGTACATTTTAATAAAAAGATTATGCTGTTTTTTAAACATTTGTATATGTTTTTTTGAGGTTTTTTGTTTGTGACTTTTTTTTGTTTGCTGACACAATACTATAAGCTCAATTTGCCTCATGACTTTTGAGAAGTAGATTGTAAACTAACAATAGCGTTTGCATAAGTTTATTTTACAGAATTACAGAATTATAACTAACTATCGAACGATAGTAATTAACGACGTTAAATGTTAAATGTTCACTGAAAAAATTATATTAAGATTATGTTAATAGCCTATATATTGGCTTGTTTTGCAATTTTAAGTGCTGTCGTTTTTTATTAATAATAAATATTCTTTTGTTTTATTTCATTTTAACAGTTAAATAATTACTTCTATGGTACAATAAATAAAAACTAAGTTTCAAATTAATATCATCATAAAACAACAAGAGATGCAATCATATGTAAACAATAAACAAAAGATATAGCTGTATGTAAACAGTACATAAAAGATATAGCTGTATGTAAACAATACACAAAAGATATAGAAATTTAATTAGAAAATTCTATGACACAATTTATATAATATTATTTTTTTTTTTTTTTTTTTTTTAACATCTTCACTTCCAACAAGGCTGCAAGCAACCACTATAAGAGTTGGAAGTTACTGGAAGAGAAAAGACTAAATCTGTAGAGCAAGATAACGATTGACTGATGACTTAAAAGATTGCAAATTATATGAATCAGGAAAGCAAGATGAAGGAAGCGAATTCCAAAGAACTGATGTTCGAGGAAAAAAACTAGAAGAATAAGAGTTTTTAAAGCACTTAGGAACAGTCACAGAAAAAGGATGAGACTTAATTGAATGGCGAGTAACACGAGAATGAATTTTAGTAGATGGCACAAAGGACGCTAGCTCTTTAGAGCAGTGCCCATTATAGTATTTGTAGAAAAGAGAAAGAGAAGCAACATTACGACGATGAGACAAAGGTTGGAGATTGGCTGCCAGAGCAGGTCCAACTATGTTTACAATTCGTTTTTGCACCTTGTCTAAAAGAGAAAGAGCATCATTAGAAGATCCGCCCCAGATGTGGCAACAGTATTCCATACAGGGATGGATTTGAGATTTATAGAGATAGAGAATAGAATCTGGAGTAAGAAAGTGTCGAGCTCGATAAAGAGATGCAACCTTAGCAGATGCTAATTTTGCAATGGATTTGATATACGGTTTAAAAGAAAGATCAGAAGTAAGAGTTAATCCTAGAAGATGAATGGTAGATGACTCATCTAGTACATTACCATTCATAAATATAGGAAGATCTAAATTATTACGATAACGATTGGCCGTATAAAATTGAGTTTTATCTGAATTAAAGTTCACCAGCCACTGTGAGCCCCATGCTGTAGCAGAAGTGAGATCCTTTTCAAGCTCAGATACCCCCTCCAAGCAATCAGAGAGTGTAGGCTTCTTATCATGACAAGAGTAAATGGTAGTGTCGTCAGCGAATAATGCCACCTTAGATGTGAGAATATCTGGAAGATCGTTAATGTAAATTAAAAAGAGTATAGGGCCAAGGATTGAACCTTGAGGAACCCCTGAAGTTACAGGATGTGAAGAAGAGTGTTGTCCATCGAGGACAATTTTTATACAACGATTGGAAAGAAAGGACTCAATAATCTTAAAGACGTTACCAGCTACACCATAAGAAGAAAGCTTATGGAGAAGACCAGCATGCCAAACTTTATCAAAAGCTTTAGAAATGTCAAGTGCGATAGCCTTAACCTCTCCACCTCTATCTAATGCACGGTAAAACCTATCGGTTATTACTGTTAGCACATCAGCTGTAGAACGAGAAGACCGAAATCCATATTGATGATCAGAAAGTAAGTTATTTGATTCAAGATGAGAGATTAAGTGTTTGTTGATTAAAGATTCAAAAACCTTGCTTATGACAGGAAGAAGACTAATGGGGCGGTAGTTAGATGAATCAGATCGCTCTCCGGAATTTTTGAAAATAGGGATAACAGATGCTGCTTTCCAGCATGATGGAAAACAAGACTCTGATAAGCACTTGTTAAATAGTTTAGAAAGTATGGATGAAAGCTCCGGAGAACACCTCTGCAAGACTACAACAGGAATGTTGTCAGGACCACAAGCTGTTGAAGAGTCTAAGCAGGAAATTACTTTAGATACAGAAGCTGAAGTGATGCGAATGTCAAGCAAGGGATCAACCTGTTTGACGGCTATGTCAGGTAAAACGCAACTAGTGGAATCAAGAGATGATATTGATGAAAAGTTCTTTGCAAACAATTCAGCTTTGTCTTTAGGTGAGGTGACAAAGTCTGAACCATACAAGAGAGAAGGAATAACAGATTTGCCCTTATTATTGATACTGTTAAAGATTCTCCAGAAGTCTCGAGAGCCTAATTTTTGTGATGAGATACGAGATTTAATGACCTGGGAATAGCGAGCTTTGGCGTCAGACAAAACCTTTTTACAATGGTTTCTGGAGATAGTGAACAGATGTCTGTTTTCTGGAGAATTGTTTTGCTGATAGATATGGAAGTAACGGTTTCAATTAGAAATTGCTGCAGCGCAATGTGAGGAAAACCAAGGAGAAGAGTGAGGCTTGACCTGGAATCGTTGAGAGGGAATAAAAGATTCCATGCCAGCCTGAATCCACGAAGTTATGTAAGAAGCACATTTGTCAGCAGGAAGACGCAAGATTTATACCCAAGGGCCATCACGAAGAAAATCACGGAAAGAGTCCCAGTCAGCTTTAAGGTAGTTGTATGTGGTACGATGATAGGGGGATTCTGATGAAGTAGAAGAATTTGATAATAGTTTTAGAGAGATCAAACCGTGATCAGAAGTACCTAAGGGTGAATGTGGAGAAATTGAGCACTGACTAGGATCCAAAAGAAGACATAAGTCGAGTAGAGAAGGTAAATGATTAGGGTTGTCTGGAAAACGAGTTGGAAAGTTGACTATTTGAGCTAGAGATTGAGAAAGGCAAAAGTTGAGGGCCTTAACGCCAGCAGAGTCACTGACACTAGAGCCAAGCCAATCGGTGTGATGGGCATTAAAGTCAGCAACAACGACAATATTGGCAGATGGATAAAGAGAGAGGGCTTGGTCAATTTGATCAGAAATAACATCAAGAATAGTGCAATCTTGGGATGAAGGAGAGCGATATAGAACAAAGAGAAAGGCGATAGAGTGAAGTTGTGCTAAACGAAAGCACATAAATGAATAGTCTGTAGATTCAAACCTAGTTTCACGACAAATGGGTGAGTTCTTACGAATGTAGATGCCCAGGCCAAGCATGTGATTATTAGAGTCTTTACGAATTAAAGGAAGATAACCATCAACACTAAGATCACAAGATGGGACAGCCGAACTCAAATTAGTCTCACAAAGAGCAAGTAGGTCTGGTGAACTATGCAAGAGATAAGACTCAACAGAAGAAAAGTTACTTCAAAGACCACGAATATTAGTAAATGATAGGTTTAGAGAACTTGGTGATGACGATGGTTTTTTGTGTTTTTTAGTTTTAGGTACTTTAGTCATTTTAAATTTATAAAGAACTTGACTCAAGTATAGATAGTACTCAGTACACTATTTAACAACTAAGCAATAGCCTCATTACTATTAATAAACTCTAAGCCGTAACAAAGGGCTCCAAATGTGGCCTCTGCAATGCACACCAAAAGTACAAACAGGGACACCATCCATGCGCAACATGGCACTGTTAGTACTCTGATATTTTTCGGCTGTTGATGGAATCAGCCTCTCTGAGAGCTACCACAGAGTTCGGGAAACCTGACTACCAGCCGGCCTCAGAACCATAAAACTGAGTTTTAGAGCTGTACCCTCATTAGGAGATAATAGAATGAGTTGCCCAGTCATAAAAATAGAGACACAAGCAATACCTGCGCATTGAGTCAAGAAGATCCAGCATTCGACATCCTAAACTGGAAACAATGTATTAAAAATACATCTGCGCCAGCCTAATAGATGAGGTAATAATAATAAGCCTAATAGATGAGCCTAATAGATGCGCCTAATAGATGAGCCTAATAGACAGCCTAATAGATGAGCCTAATAGATGAGCCTAATAGATGATTTGTTTATGCGACACAAAGATTGCAAAAAGTTTGCAGTATGACATTATTTTATTATGACACAAAGGTGTGTCATTATAGAATAATATGTCATAATAATAAACAGATTATTAAAAAATTCAAATGAAAATTTCTAGCTGTGTTTTAGCGGAAAAGCAAAAATTAAAAAACTTTTCTTTTTTGCTGTTATGAACTTGTTTTAAAATTATTTAAATAAAACTTTTTTTTGTTTTAAACTTGACAAAAGACTTTTGCTTTGAAAACATAGATTTTGAAAATAATAAAACAAGAATTGTTTATCAACAGTTAAAAGAAATATCAACAGTTAAAAAAATATTTTTTTAACAAGAATTTTTAACCTTAAAACTATTTGGAAAATAGTTTCAAGGTTAAAGGTCCTGGAAAAAAAAAAAAAGTTGTACAATTTTGTCTTGTCTTTTTCTTTTTTAATTAAAATGTATTTTTCTCCAAAACAAGTTTCTCTTAGATTTTTATAATAATGTCTATAATTTTTCTTTTTAGTTTGTGTTATTTTTCATTTTTTTAGTGGAAGTTGTTGTGAAAGTTTTTATAAAAACTAAAATTTCTGATTAAAATAATTAAGACTAAAATATTTTCAAACCTTGTATGTTATAATTTTTTGAACTAATATTAATAAAATATTATTAACTATATTAGCTCAATCATCATCATATAAAGTAAAGCAAGAGGCCAAAAAAAAATTGCAAACTCATAATTGGAACGCACTTTTTCTTGGGCAAAATGCAGTTGTTGATGTTATGGCAAATAGACTTAACAAAAGTAAACATGATATTCTTGATACAGAATCATCTTCTAGTTTAGCAGTACGAATGGCGCTTGGTGAAACTGAACTTGTATCAGAGACAAGAGAGTTTCTTGAGTCAGAGGGGGTTAAACTCGACTGTTTTGGTCAGGTATAAGTTTTTGTTTTTTTTTACGTCCCACAAAATATTAATTTTTTTTCTAGAAATATTTTCAACTTTTCATAACATTTTTTTAAAATAAAATATGCAAGATTATCGTTATTTTTTTTAAAAAAGTTTATATTTTAGACAGTTTATTTTTTAGACAGTATATTTTTAATAATCGAGAGTATAAAAATTAATATATATATATATATATATATATATATATATGTATAAAGTATATATATAAAAAATATAAAAAGGAATATTATTTTAGTGCATATATATTTTTTTTCGCAAGAAGTTGTTTTCTTCTTGTTTTCTTCATGTATGTATGTATGTATGCATGTATGTATGTATGTATGTATGTATGTATGTATGTATGTATGTATGTATGTATGTATGTATGTATGTATGTATGTATGTATGTGTGTATGTATGTATGTATGTATGTATGTATGTATATATGTATGTATGTATACATATTTGCTTGCATATATTTTAATGAGAGTGTAGAAAGTAATAAATTGCACTTTATTAAACTATACTTCTAAGTGCATTGCATCATTCCCAAACACACCCTAAAAAAGATATATTGGTTCAATAGAGGGCATGTGGAAAGTCTATTGATAGAGGGCATATGGAAAGTTAGATAACTTTTTCTACATCAAACCACAAGAAAATTTTTTAAAAATAAAAAATTACAAACACAATCACACAATCATCTTTCAAAATATCTATAGGATACAAAGGTTAAATTAAAAACAACATCCAATTTAACATAGTCCATCATAAAAAGTGTCTACAACAACATAAATAAATATATTACGTTAAATTTTTGCTGGATAACCACAAACTAAAAGATTGAATTTTTCTAAAGCATTTTTCTAAAGCATTTCAACAGAATTAATTTTCAACAAGAAAAAATCATATTTTTATCTGATAATTGCATTTAACATTAAAACTTATAGTTGTAAAAAATATGTTGTTTTATTTAATTAAAATATATATATATATATATATATATATATATATATATATATATATATATATATATATATATATATACAAGGCCTGATATATATATATATATATATATATATATATATATATATATATATATATATATATATATATATATATATATATATATATATATGTATCAGGCCTTTGCGTAAGAGGTGTGCGGTTGCACGCCTTATATAACCACGCATATAATACTTTGTTTTAACAACTAGGCCATTTGGCTCTTTGCAAGTTTTGATAATTAGCGCTTTTAGAAAAGATGCTAAAAAAATAAAGCTAACTTAAGTTATAATAAACAATCCATAAACTGAAAAGAGAATAAAATCTAAAAATAATACAAAAATTAAACTAAAAAAACAAAAATTTTAAAGAATAGCAAAATAAATTGAAGAAAAACCAGAAAAAAATTAAAACATTTGTAATTTAATGTAAACTTAATTGTAAGCTATAGTTAAAAAAAGATATTATCACAGCCCTATCAATCTTTATTATTCCCTCCCATGAATAAATAGGCTTATACAAGGGCAAATCCATAGTGAGGGGGAAGGCCATGAGGGTGTCCCTCACGGCCTTTCCCCTCAAAAAGTTAATAGGATACAGGGTGCGACAAATCAACAAATGTGCACATTTTTCTTTAAAAAAGTTTTTTTTTTAAAAAAAACTTTTTTTTCTTTAATTTTGCTTATGCAAACTATATTCAATAGTAGTTATACCTTGGATAACTTAATTTCTATTGACTACTGTGCAAATTGTTGGTCTTTGTTTAAGGTTTTTTGAAAGCAAAACGCATTACTTAAGCAATTTTTTTTCCAAATATTTTTGCAATTGTTAGTTTTTTATTTATTATAAAAACACATTTAAAATAAAAAAACAATTTCAAATAAATTACTAATTTGCTAAATTACTTTCATCAATAGCGTTAAATAAAAAAAGTATGTTTTTGTATGCGCTTACAAAAGCATGCAAAATTTTACTTAAAAGTAATGCTTTTGCAATTACTTAAAAAGAAACCATGCTTAAACATGATTGCTTTCTTTTATTGAAGAAAGCAATCATAATTTTGTAGCAGTTTAATTGTATTTATGAAAATGAAAATTTGCATTTATGTTTGCTTTGATTTTTTTAGTACATTTTTTAAAAGTACTATTTCTCAAAACTTGCAAAGAGCTGTGGCCAAGTTGTCGAAAAGAAAGTATTACATACGTGGTCATATAAGGGGTATGACCACAAGCCTCTTATGCAAAGGCCTGATTAAATGACTAAATAGGTAGAACATGCAAGAAATTGACTAAGGGGATAGGTTGGGGCATTAATATTTTTTTATTTGTTATTTTTTGGTCCCAGGTTGACATATTCTTATATGTATGTATTACTTTTAAATAATAGGCAAATTCCTTGCGAAGCAAAACTGTGATTTTGGTGAAAAATTTACCTCCACAAACTCTAACCAGTGAACTAAGGGAAATATTTTCTAAATATGGTGATCTTGGACGTCTACTAATGCCCCCATTTGGGATAACAGCCATTGTTGAGTTTATCCAATCTAAAGATGCAAAAAATGCATTTAATAATTTAGCCTATTCAAAGGTAAATTTTTTAAAACAATATTTCTGATCATCAAAAGGTTTTTATAAAACCTTTTGGTTATTTGGTAACTCGTTTAATGATAATTTGCTGAAAACCTGTTTTTTTATGTTAGTTGAACAATACCTAATGCAGCATCAACTAATTATTTGTTTATTTTGTTAGTTTAAACACACACCCCTTTATTTGGAATGGGCACCTTTAGATGTATTGTCAGGAGAGGTTAAAAAAGTAGTTGAAAAAAAGGTTAGAAGAACTTCTCTCTTAAAGTTATTTTGATATTATTGTTCAATTACTAAAATTCTAAATGTTTTATTAAGGTTGAAGATGTGGAATCTGGTATGTATATATTTATCATCACCTTTCATAATTGCTATAATAATTTTTTAATAGTTTTTGATATTTAATAATCAGACTAGATTTTATAATAATATAATAATTACTATAATAGTTATAATGTATCATATATATGATAATAGTATCATAGTTATAATGTAGTAATTACTATTGGTACAAATTATTAGAACAAAAAATCTTTAATTATTTTTAGAAGATGAAATCAATGATGCACAAGCTGTTCTTTTTGTTAAAAATTTGAATTTTAATACTGTTGAAGAGAGATTTAAAGAGGTAATTATAAAAAACTGCATTTCAAAAGTTCAAACTCCAGAATCATTGTTTTAATTAGTAGAACAAGAATTATTTAATACTTTGAAACGCTAAGAATAAGTAAATATAGTTAATAAAATTGTTGATATTTTTAAATTAAATGCAAACTCAATTTTAAATTGTTTACTTGTTATATGTTATATATTATATTATATTATATTATATTATATTATATTATATTATATTATATTATATTATATTATATTATATTATATTATATTATATTATATTATATTATATTATATTATATTATATTATATTATATTATATTATATTATATTATATTATATTATATTATATTATATTATATTATATTATATTATATTATATTATATTATATTATATTATATTATATTATATTATATTATATTATATTATATATATATATATATATATATATATATATATATATATATATATATATATATATATATATATATATATATATATATATATATATATATATATATATGAAGAGTGTATTTTCAAAATTTAAGTGAAGAACAAATAAAAGTAGTATCTAAGAATTGCTTTATTTTTAAAAAATTTGAGAAAGTTAATACAACTAAGTAAATTAAAAAATTTTAATAATTAATTTGTTGTGGTGTTGGAGATGATGCTTGTCAAGGTTTTCATATATTTTCTTATTTTTAAATCTTAATAAACATTTTTGATGAAAGCTTTGTAAATGAATCTTAAGTAAGAATACTTTGAAGAATCCCAACTCACAGTGTTTCAACTGTTTAAATTGTTGAAAAAAATGCACAGCACTTTTAGTTTCAATCAGACAAATTTTACCCAGTTTTTTGTTGATGCTATAAAGGTCAATATGAACTTGATATATAAACTAAAAAATTGTGCAGTTTTTATCACATTGTATCACAAATAATGATTAAAGAGTTATGAAATTAAACTGAGTTCACAACTTGTAGACCTGATTAAAAAGTTATGAGGTTAAACTGAGTTTAAAACTTGTAGACAACTAATGATTAAAAATTTATAAAAATTTTAGGAAATGAAAAGCTTTATCAGTTTTAAAAAGTTTTATAAAAAGTTAAAAGAATTATGAAGTCATGAAAATGAAGAAAAATGAAGTCATGCAGTTTTGGTTGATGTCATAAATTTGTTTATTGTAGAAAAACCAATTTTAGATCATTTCAACATGTATGACAAGAAAAATGCATAAAGAGGGCTGGAATGCAACAAGACATAAAAATTGCTGGAATGTAACAAGACATAACAGTTACAACAATGTCTTCACTATAAAAAACATTATGGTGTTGTTTTTTTTTTTATAAAAAAAAAAAGAAAAATACTACAAATAAATGTTGTAATATTTATCAAATATTACAACATTTATTTGTAGTATTTTTCTACAAATTTTTATATTATTAAATTATTCTAGGAATAGTTATCAAAGATAAGCATTGTAACATATATTACAAAATTGAATGGTTTTAAAAAAAAATGTATAATAACAACTTAGTAGAGAAAATGTATTGAAATCTGTCATCTATTTAAATATTAGACCAATTGAAAGTTTTTTTGTTCTAAAAATAAACAAAAAATATATCAAATTCTGTTGATGTGCAACTATGAATAGTACATTTTTTTGTCATTTTCTCAAAATCAATTTTGTCAGACTTAGTGTATTTTGCAAATGAGCTTCTCACTTATCTCTTGCAAAAAAAAACTGAAAGCAATTTTATTAAATCCAGTTAAAAAAAAAGTTTAAAAAATGAAATTTTATTTGAATCATTACAAAAGTTGCAGATTTTTATCCCAATGGTGAGTTTACAAGACAAATTTCAGGTAAAAAAAGATTGCATAAGTAAAAACTAGCATATGCAAAAATCCCTACTGTTGTGTCCCAGTTAATAACGTATTATTCTCCATTGAAGCATTTACTACCATGAAAACTTTTTAGGGGGCTGAGAGTGCTATGTGGTAAACTTTAATAAACGTATACAAAACTACTATGAATAGAATGTTCGAAATTTCTGCTTTTTTTGGTGACTATGGCCTCATTAAATTGACATGACATTCACTAGACATTTGTTTATACAAAATAACTATGGTTATACAAAATAGATATAAAAAATCTTAATATATTTAAACTTTTATCTATCTAATGTATGATTACTTAGGTCACTGATTCCCTGATTCCGTAACACATTAGCGGTTAATTATAATAATAAAAATAAATTATTTTTACATGCTTTAATTAGTTTTAATGTCATCATCTAGTGAAGCATTTTAATATCAGTTTAGACATTTAAAAAAAAATCAAAAATTTCTTTTTAAAAGGTAAATATTTATTTAGTTACAAATATATAATAACTCATACATTTGTATGATTTAAATGAATATAATTAATTTTAATTTTAAATTTATATACTATATTATATTAAATATAATATATAATATTAATTATATTAAATATAATATATAATATTAATTATATTAAATATAATATATAATATTAATTATATTAAATATAATATATAATATTAATTATATTAAATATAATATATAATATTAATTATATTAAATATAATATATAATATTAATTATATTAAATATACTATATTATATTAAACATAATATATAATATTAATTATATTAAATATACTATATTATACTAAATATAATATTAATTATATTAAATGAATATAATTAATCTTAATTTTTAAACAGTTTCTGTATTATCGATCTTAAAATAAATAAGGTATATTTATTCCCCAGCTTCACTTTACTTCACAAAATAGATAAAATCAATATATGCCAATAATGCAAATTTTAAAGTTTTATAAAAAATATATAAATATAAAAAATATATAAATGTAAAAAATGATGAAAGTTAAATTATAAATTTTATAAACTTATACTTTTAGGAAATTAGTTTTTTATTACTTTATTTATAAAAATATTATAATTTTTGATATGATAATAATGAATTGATATTTAATAATTGGGTTTTGTAAATTGAAATTGTACATTAAAATTAAATTGTAAAATTAAGTTTTCTGATAAATAATTATACCAAAATCAATAGGGAGGCAGAACCCATTGGTGGCTGCCTCCAAAAGAGGAATTGAATGAATTACTACTTTTATGTTAAAAATTGGAAATTTCATTTTCATGTCGTAGGCAAAAGAATCATTAAAAAAAAAAAAAAATAATAAAATTGTTTTTTATCAAAATTTGTTATTTTGTCGCTCATTAATCATACTAAAACTCTCTTTATTTTATGACCATAACATTAAATTCTGAACTATTAGATATTGTAAAAAAAAATTGACAAATACAACATTCTTTTCATTATGAATTAATAAAATTAATTTATTTTGATGTCGGTTTGAATTGAATTTTTTTTAATAAAATGTTTTGCAACAATAAAAAATGAAAAATGTGTCTAAACAAGCCAAATAATACTATGAAGATTTTTTTTACTTATGTTCTGGTATGAGATTTTTACTTCGTTTTTTACTAATAACAAATTTATTAGTAAAAAAATTTTGTATTAAATTTTTATTCACTACTTAAAATCTTTTATTAAATTTTTACTTGCATGAGCTATTTACTCCTCCCATAAAATTGTATTTTGCAACTCGGTTGTATTTTGTCAATACTATTGACTCAATAGTATTGACAAAATACAACCTGATCACAAAAAAGATTTTTGAAATCAGGTTGAAACCACAAACATTAAAATATTGAAAAGTGTTGACAAATGTTTTGCAAATAATTGTTATAAATATTTTGATATGCCAAATATTTTGTATACAATTACATATAATTACAAATGCATAAGATTTTGAACTAATCCTAATTGATAATTATTAATAAAATGGCGATGTTATTATATACCTTTGATAGCTCAGTGGTTTAGTGCGCTGTTTTTAGTGTCATTTTTGAGGGTTCAAATCCACCCTAAAATCGTAAAGTTTTCTATTATTATATTAAATATAGATGTATTGTTTTATAATATTCAAATGTATTATTTTACTTTAAATGTATTATTTTTAAATTTTTATATTTAAATGCATATAATATTATATTTAAATGTATTAATTTATTAGTAATATGTAATAAATCATAAATGTATTTAAATAAATAATTTATTACAGTTTTTTTCAAGTTGTGGAGAAATAAAAACTGTAACAATTGCTAAAAAGCAAGATCCAAAAAATCCTTCAGCTATGTTATCAATGGGATATGGTTTTATTGAATACAAGAAAATAGAAAGTGTTGAAAAAGCTTTAAAGCTACTTCAGGTATTTTTATTAAAATTAATTTTCTTTTTACTTTTTTTTTTTGTATCTTGTATTTTTAAAAGTGACAATTTTTTATTTTGTAAAAGTACTAAGGTTGAAGTGTGGTCAAAATTCTAAAATAATTAATTTTGACCAAACATTGATTTTTTTTTTATATATAATTTTAAAAGATTAAGTAAAAGTCCCATACAGAGGTCATGTTTAACATTTCAAAAAATAAAAGTTTCAAAAAAAAGTTATTTTTCAAATAAATGATTAAAATCAATTAGAAAACCACTAAAAAAATACTAACAACATAAGTTTTGGTAACAATGGTAACAACATAAGTTTTTCTTTTCTTCACTTAAACCTTATATTTTGCTCTAATTTGTTTCTGACATTTTTAATTTATCTGTTGAATTTTTTGCTATAGGTTTAATTACTTGACCATCTCTTTGTTTACAATATGTTGTACTGTTTTTATTGGAATTATATCTAATTCTAAATAAATAATAAGTACCAAACCAGTTTTCTCGACTTACACATCTCAGTTGCTTTGTCAAGCATTTTTCTAAGTGGTTCAGACCATTTATTTATATGAAAGTAAATGTTCAATTAAATGCCTTAACCCTAATTCACCAGTGTGTAGATAACAAACAATACGAGCTAAATTTCTATTATTTTTTTTTTTTACTCATTGTATGACTCAAACAGCATTGACATTTGTGCTATCTTCTACAATAGCCATGAGATGTCGATTTTGATTTTTACTATTTAACCAGTCAACTAAGTGATAGACAATAAATTTCAGCTTTTTTTATTATTGGTTGTCTTTGGAAAAAAATAAAAAAAAAAGTCACCACCAGGGAAAATTTCTTTCATTCATTTCTATAAACATTTTTGTTGCATCTACTTTCCCATCAAAAAAAGGCAAGAAACCTGATTTTTTTGTAGGCCTACTACTCAAACTAATTGTCTAATTCTTATGCTAATTTTTCTTGAGCCATTTTAACCTTGTTATGATCTTTATTAAAATAGCAATCACTCTCACTTATAAGTTTTGCACCTATCAAAGTAGCTGTAACTATTTAAACAATTTCTCCTAAGCTTGTTTGTTCAAGCTAACCTAAGGAATGTTTTTAATAGTGATGTTCAAATTATTTTGAATAGTGATGTTCAAATATAAATTAAATAAATTGTATCTCATTCAGAGAAGATTTACATTGAGTTTCATTATTAACTTAGTTTGTATTCTTTTAGATAACTTAGTTTTCTTTCCACTGTCACCTTTGAATGTTTAAAATTTTACATAAATTATTTTACCAATTTTATGATGTATGTAATCCTGAAAAAATAAAATAAGTTCTTTGCATTTGTATTTTAATTGAAATGCATGCAACTCTTTTGTGCGCCCTTCTCAAACACATCATATAACGATTTACTTAAAACCACAACTATTCAATTCAATATTTTTCATAAAAATACTAAACAAGTTCAAATTAATCCAAACTCACGATCTTTGTATTGGTTAAATTATATTAACTATTAATATAATTTAACCAATACAATGAAAAAAGTATGTCAAGCAAAATAATAACTTCAATAAAAGTTTTTATTTCTGAGAAGATTTGTAACAAAATATTACAAAATATATTGAGTACTAGAGGCCTTTCCATGTTTCATCAGTAATGCTAGTTTAAGTGCTGTTATGCAAAAGCTAGCTATGCAGTATGCTAGGTTAAGTGCTGTTATGCAAAAAAAAAATAAAAAAAAAACATATATATATATAAAATAATATATACACATACAACTATAAATGCGCATTTAGATAAACACTGTGACATCAAACTAAAATAGCCTGTGCAAAAGACTTCAGTATATACATCAGTTATCTTATAGCCAGCTGCCGCAAATGAGTGTGGCTACATGGACTAATTGTTTGGCATGGGGCAATAATCTATTTTTTCATTAATCTTCTTTTTTTCTTTTTCTGAAAAAGTTATATGCTATTAAGATAACTAAAACTAGTAAGCATTTGCTGATCTATATACGCTATAGCAGGCCAAGGCCTGCATGAAGCGGGAGTGATTGCTTCCATCACGTGAAATATGCTTGTTAATGGAATATTTATAAATTGTGGGCGTGATAAAAAACGCTAGCTAATTTAGTTACGAGAGTAAAAAATTGCTCATGTCCTAAAAATTTGAAAGGGAGAAAACTAATAATGGTTTTCTTGATTTTATATTAAATTTTTTTTATAAAAAGTTTTTGTTAAAGATTCTTGTTTAATTAAACAAATAAGTTCGCTTATTGTTAAAAATAAAATATTCTCTATTCACTTATTGCATTTTTTCAACTGAGGTAAAATGTTAAAGTTATACTTCAATTTTTTCATGTTAACTTACGTCATTCTGTTGAAATAAGGGCGCCAATTTTTTACGAACAATGAATGGTGATTTGTGAATGAGACTTCTTTATATGAAACGTTTATAGCAAACATTTAATGAAATTAAATAAAATTTTATTTATTTATATAAGTTTATTAATAATATTAAATTGTGTAATAAATGCAAATTAATAATGAGAAACCTTGTTAATTTATTTTTGTAAAAGCATTTGCTTAAAACCACATGCATAGTAATAATTTTTTTTTATTTAATTTCGAAAAAATATTAAATTAAACCCAAAAATACTAAAACTTTTAATTGTTCTTTGAGTTAATAGCCCAATGTTGATAGAAAAGAATTTTAACAAATCTTTATAAAATTTTCTTAAGTTATTATTTAAATAAGATGTTTGTGGCCAAAATTTAACTAAATTTAAAAAGTATAACTTATTTATTATAAATTTGTTCTGTTCTTTTAAGAACATTGTGCACTCTATTTTGTAGAATACATTTTAAAAATTGTTTATATATATATATATATATATATATATATATATATATATATATATATATATATATATATATATATATATATATATATATATATATATATATATATATATATGTATATATATATATACATATAAATATATATATATAAAATTATATGTATATATATATTTATATATATAAATATATATATATATATATATATATACATATATATATATACATATATATATACATATATATATGTATATATATATATATATATATATATATATATATATATATATATATATATATATATATATATATATATATATATATATATATATATATATATATATATATATATATATATATATATATATATATATATATATATATATATAATCTAAATTTTTCAGTCACCCTCTCAGACTTCTTTTAAATTTTACCCAGTGGTACCTATCAATGTAACATGAAAAATGGTAAAATTTGAGCTCCCTAAATCAAACGGTTCAAAAGTTATGACGTTTTGAAATTCAGCCTAAAATGTTCCTTTTTTTGCCAAGTCTGCCATTATGGATTTTGCAGTTGTACTTTTTAATGTATAATTTAAGATCTAGTTGAAGAATGAGGCTAAAAATGGGTACCTGACCATTTTTGAGAGTGCTGAATTCAAAAATGTAAAGCAAATAGTGAAATTTAAATTTATTGATGGTTATTTTTTGATTTTAAAATGGTCAGTCCAATTTTTTGTTCTGTTACCATGGGTTGCGCTTTCATCCACTCCCAGAGTTGCCTAAGTCTCATGGATTCAATTTTTTTTCAAATGAAGTAGGTGATCCAAGGCTATCTTTATAAAAAAGATCGTTTTGGTTTCTTAAAGCATTATAAAGATATATCATTTTGAAATTTATACAAAAAAAATTCCTTATTTGGACTTCAATTCTCTTTTATTTTTTAGCTAAAGTTTAGGTGTAAATAATTTAAGTTTTAGTTAAAGAAACTGACTGAAAATTGGTACCTGACTATTTTTGAAGATGCTGAATCCAAAGTAGAAAATAAAATAACCTAATTTAAAATGTTAGATAACTGTTTTTTTTTAAAAAAAAAATGGTAAAAAAGCACATTACAATAAAAAGAGTTAAGGTTTTCACAAGTTTCCTGATCACAAGACTCTCATGGGTTCAATTGTGAAGTGTAAAAAGAGTTTATTGAGGTAGGTTTTTATATATAAATGTTTTGTGAAGTGAATTGTCATTTAAAAAAATAGTTTTGCAATGCCTGCTGTGATGTATAAATATAGATTTGTGATGTCAGATATGTTGTATAAATATAGTTTTGAAACACCAGTAACCATAAACTTAAAATTATTTTAATTTTAGATTAAATAATTAGAGAATTTAGTAATTCAGTTTCTTAGTCATGGAAAACAGCCAACAGCACTCCATTGGAATCAAGCTAGAAAATGAATGTCATCTTGCAACACATACATCGTTGCTTGGAATCGAACCTTTTGAAGATATTCCTGAGTATGAAAGAGAAATATTAATGTGGAGGACTGGGCTCTCAATAATCAATGTCAAACCAATAACTTGTCTACATCATAAACATGTTTATTTGAAGCGTTATGCAACTAAATTAACACAGTGCTGCAATCCATTTAATACTCATAACAAAAATATAAAAGGTATTTATAGTAGTCACAACTTTTATTTTGTGAAAATGTTGTGAGTTGCAAAAATGAAATTCTTTGCAGCCAATTTATTTTAGGTATATTTAGCCTTACTTTTAGCTGACTTCTAAAAGTGCACTATTAAATGCCATACAAATTTAAATCTAAAATAGTTTTATTACAATTTTTATACATATTCAAAGAGTTCTTCCCTTTTTTCAGGCAGTCTTCGTGAAATCAACTTGGATTCAGCAAAGTACTTATGCAGTAAAGGCAAGTTTGTAGTGCCAGGTGAAAAACTTTGTCCACAATGCAGACATAAATTAGCATCAAGTGAAGAATCAGAAGTGAACAAGTTGAAAAAAAAAATTAACTGAAGAAAATATGGAAAAAGAAATTATACTGGAATCAACAAGATCATTGCTCAACAGTACTTTGTGTGAACTTGAAGTGTCTCTGCTAAAAGTTCAT